AAATTTGACCAATCAGTGTCCGCTATTCATGACAGTCCGCCATATATTTGAGATCAGTGAGAATGACCACCCACCGAAACTTCGTTGGTGACCCACGCCCGCGATCATTGATGAACTTCAGACTTCGCTAAAGGTCCAGGCACACCGGACGCGATTCGACAACGCGACGCGATTTTTTAGTTTTTGAAAGTTAATAAAACAGCCAATAAGAGCAAATTTTAAAAGATATGTAGACCAAATAACTCAAAATGTTAGCGCCGTTCTAAATATTTGGAAAATTTGAACTAGGTTCAAAGTTATTGGTCAGTGAAAATCGAAGAATTGCGTCGCGTTGTCGAATCGCGTCCGGTGTGTGTGGGCCTTAATGTTTTCGTTTTCCCGGGCGTAAATAGCCGGGCGGAAATAGTACCCTCGCCCCGAGCTTACGCCCGGAACGGCGCCGTTGGCTCGTGTTTACTATCTACGAAGTTACTATCGCAAGTGAAGTTCTACCCTGCATGCATATAGTTGGGGAGGGGGGAGGTTGGGAGTCTTTCTGAATTTGATTTGATTCGATTTTTAATATAAAACGTTTTGCAATCAAGGATTGAATTACACGTTTTGACATTATATGAAGTTAATTAAAATACATATTCGAAATAAGCTATAAGAGAATATAAAATTATTAAAAAGTTAATTTAAAACTACGAATAAGTTCTAATTGCATATGGGATAAAACTATTTCTAAACCGTTCAGTTTTAGCCTTAATAGACGGAAGGTGATCATTACGCAAGTTATATTGATGTTCACTACTAAATGGTAAAAGGTTAAAAAGGCGATTGCTTGGCTTATTTACACGGTTAAAATATTTACGACATAGAGTTTCTCTTCGGTTTTTATGTGACATTGACGTTGTAGTCTCCTTGTTCTCCGAATATGAAAAATTCTTGCATATGATGCGAAGAGCTCGTTTTTGAACTGATTCCACCTGTTCACATAAGTATTCAGGGATGCAAGAGTGCCAAATAGGGCAAGCATATTCCAAAACTGGTCGAATGTAACAGCAATAAACTTTTATTAAGTCCACAATATCAAAACCCGCTCGTCGTATGATTCTAAGAAAATATGAGCGTTTACTAGCTTTGGAACAGATATCTTGAATATGATCATCCCATTTTAAATCGTCTGAAAGGGTAATACCCAAAAGTTTGGCCTTACTGACAACTCTTACAGGCTCGTTGTTAATCAATAACTGATTACCAAGGTCAAAATTATGGTCTGATCAACCCACTCGCTGGTTTTAGATAAATTTTGGTCTAGTTTAGATCCTGCATTCTGTAACACAACCTCAAAGATTGAAGAATCATCAACACATTTTGCAATGTCATTGGTTGGTTTGAAATCGTTAATCAAAATCAGGAATAGTAGTGGACCCAGCATAGTTCCTTGGGGTACACCTGCCTTGACATCAATCCAACAAGATGTACGTACATCCTCTCAACTTCACACGTTGACAACGACCACATTTTCTGAAGAAAAGAAACCCAAATGAATTTATTTCAAATTAATTTATTTTAATTACATGCAGTTATCATTAAAAACATTTACCACTTGACATCTTTGATATATGAATATATAAATTGGCAAGGTCTTACAGACAGTACGACTAACGCATGTATTCTAAAAGCTCACTCAGACTCACACTCAATTAGTGGAGGTTCAATCAGATCTTCCGTTGAGTGTCAATGCTGTTTTTGAATAGCTGGAAGATTAGTGTCGTACTTTACTATGTGACTGAGTGCTTTAAATAGCTTAAAAAACGACTCATCTTATACGAGTTCATTGGCGAAGTAATTTTTAAAATAAACTTTGTCTAAACCGAGAAAATCAAAGCTAGAGTGTATGTAAATTAACATGATTTTTTATCACATATAAAACCGCGACACACTTATGATTTTTCTTTGTGTTTTGCTCCTGAATTATTAATGAGTTTTTTAAATATATATATATATATATATATATATATATATATATATATATATATATATATATAAATATATATATATGGATGAGCCATGCCGCTTACGGATGAGCCATGCCGCTTACGCATTGCGCACGCTCACTGCTAGCAGTTTGAGCGCTCTGGCATGGTTTTGATGTCCCACAATCGTGAGGCATCAAAGGTAACTGTAAACAGCAGTTACTTTCATCCTGCTCATCAGCACTACACTGATGAGGCCCATAAGGCCGAAACGGTACCGTCTGTAGTTAGATATCGCTCTATGGCCTTTGGGTCATATTGAGCGCTCTACAGGATGAGCCATGCCGCTTACGCATTGCGCACGCTCACTGCTTGCAGTTTGAGCGCTCTGGCATGGTTTTGATGTCCCACAATCGTGAGGCATCAAAGGTAACTATAAATAAGAGTTACTTTCATCCTGCGCATCAGCACTACACTGATGAGGCCCATTAGGCCGAAACGGTACCGTCTGTAGTTATATATATATATATATATATATATATATATATATATATATATATAGATATATATATATATATATATATATAGATATATATATACATATATGTGTGTCTATGTGTGTGCATGTTGTGTAACACTGAACAGGTGGGAAATTTGTCTGAGCATGCGCGAGCAAAATGAGTCACGCAATTGAGTGGAATACACGCAACGCGTGTTTACAAAAAGGCACAATCGTGCAAATATTGCCAAATGTTTGTACAAAATAAATGACTGTTTTATGTTGAAAATGGACATGATCTAAATTAATCATACAGAATTTTTTAGTGACGTTCTATTTCAGTACCCTGCCGTTGTCTCTGGTGGGCTGTCCGTGTGCATTCGATCTGAAACAGTTGCTACTTTGCTGTCGAAAAATTTCGAATGTTTACATGAAAATAGAGGCAAGTCATGCATTTTACAACCTCGTAAATTGTATGAGCCCCTATTTTTACGCTTATACCTAAGATATCAAATAAAAATACATGAAACAGAGAACATTTTTAGAAAGTTTTATCGTGAGGCCACGGCCAGTTTTTAAAATATTTTTATTTCTGTTCCGGTCATCACCAAAATTACACTAAAGCCGGGCTTGAATATACAACAAATTTTGAATCTCATCAAGTACAAAAATATTTAACGTGTAACCAAAATATGCTCATGAAATCGAAATTAATAGCTAAATTTTCAAACTAGACCCTTCTCGAAGCGGTTTTCGTGAAGGAAGTTCACATTTCGGCCTTTGATTCTTGGCAAAAATTTGACCACAACACGTGCGAAGCAACTGGGTCTCAAAGACTCAGCTAAAACATTGTGAGCCCCTATTTTCCTGACGATATGTTTGATACCTACAAACGCCGAAAAGTTTTTTCTTTTCATTTAGCTATATTTGAAATTGAGGCCACGGGCTATTTTTGAGAAAATACAGTTCAAAGTCAAGCTATTTTTACATATTTTCAAAATTTGGC